AGCAGTAGCTTTTGTCGTTGCGCGTCAAATACGGCACGCAAACGGTATGTATAGCGCTGATAAGCGCTGATGGAATTCAGCAGCGGATAGAAATACCGCTCAGCAGACAACCATGTAAATGGCTCCATCTGGTGCCCTTCCGACCCGTTTGTGCGCCGTCTGTCACCTCTCCGCGCGCAGCGGATGGGCAGCAGGCGCTTAGCTTCATCCCTAGCAAAGAGTACTGCACGCTGGCACCACGTTGAGGCGGACGGCTGACCCAGAGCGTTGTTGTGGTCTTATTGGTAGTACTATTTGGCATTTGGATCTTCTGATTTAATGTTGGTGCCTTATGATCCTCATCGCCTTGTGTATTTTACTGCGCCTTTTATTTTGTGCATCTGACATACCGGTCGCACCTTGTGTGTGTGTGGAGACTGAGTTGCCAAACCTCGTGGCTCTGGATTATCGCTAGCCGAACTCAGTGACTCTGGTGGAACTCGTGTCTGTCCAGTGATGGCTGTGCCTGCTTCCTTTGGCAAAGAAGGTCCTGGACTTCTCAAACCCTCCTCGCTGTCTCTCCCACTCTCTGTCTGCGGCACATCGGTCTCCCCACCATATGGCTGTAATGCACCAGGCAGATTTTTGTAGGATCCGTTTTCCCTAGCTCAGGGCTGGGAGGACGGCTGTTATCATTGTTATCGTCTCCCGTCGCCGTCACGCACACGGACGAGCAGCAGCAGCACAAGAGCGCAAGGGACAACACGGCGCACACCGTCACCACCGCAGTCATCATCGCCCGTAGTGGTGTCGCTGGAGTCAGTCAGCTGATCGGTGAGACGGAAAGGAAAAGAATGGAACGAGAGGGAGAGGGACGGAGCACAGCGGATACAGCGAGAGAGCAGACAACATGAGGAGAGGGCAGGAGGCCCAGCCGCACAGTTCACACACCACGAGACGGCATCCACGCAAGGAAGGCACACAACGCCAGCAGCCACCCACCATGCAGGAGGAGAAGTCATCCACCACCATCTCCCCCAGCTCATTCCCGCAGCCCCAGGGAAATGACAAAACCCCGCGGCCACCACACAACGCACACGGAGCAAGCGAACCCTCATCCATCCATCACGCGGTAAAAATTTCCTGCCATCCCGCCATCAATGGGACACGGAGCCCAACTCAGCGCAGTCACACGCGGTGCATCACACGCGCAGGAAAATAGACTCGGGCTGCGCTCCCTCTCCCCCCTCCTCCTCATGGCCACGGAAGAAGACAACAGCCACCACACGCAACTGCCAGCATGCACTGCAAAAGAGGTGCATTCAAATCCACTGCAACGTGCATCTTGTGTGTGCGGGCTGTGCGTGCCAGCACTCAATCACGGGGATTTGTGCGCGTCTATTTTTATCCGATGTAAATAATAGAAAATAATGATTGTGTTTTGCTTCACTCGCTTCCGCTGCCCTGCTGTGCGCTCCATTTTGCTGCTTCCTGTATCCGTGACGTTGAACGCATCGCAGCCACACTCATATGCATTCGCAGCGGAGCCGTACTTGGACACACATTTGAGGATAGGTGCTTGCGCACTGGAGTCTTGGGTTTGTCATCTTTTTAATTTTTTGCTTGGTTCCTAAACTTTTGTTCTGCAGGACATTATGCGAGTTTTGCAATCGTGCTGATTCTATCTGTCTTTTGTGGTGTGTTTTCTGCTTCTGCTGTTGCTGCCATTTGTAACTGTGCGGAGGCTGTGCGTGTGTCGTGTCTCTCTCCTTTCCCTTTCACTCTGCGTTGACGTGTTGTTAGTTTGTGCTGAAGGCCACACGCAAGTGACAGGAGTGATGGCGATGATGATGACTGGCCGTGTGCTGCTGGTGTGTGCCCTCTGCGTGCTGTGGTGCGGTGCGGTTTTTGGACACGCGATGGAGGATTACTGCGGTGAGGGTGGAGGGAACGGTTTGAGGCACACGAGTAATGGTGGCGATGACGGCGTGTCTCTAAAGGCGGACTGCGGGTTGTTATCCACTCGAATGGCATTAATAAAGGCGGTTGAGGCTGCGGATAATGGACGTGTTGAATTGAGTGTTCCAGACCCATCTCAGGATACGGAGGAAAAGTTGGACGATAAGTCATTACCGAATAACACGGAGGGCAGTGTAGCGGCTGGTCCAGGAAGAGATGTTGTCGCAAGTCCACCACCACCAGCAGCGGTAACTCTGGAGCCCGAAGAATCAGGTACAGAAGAACAGGTTAGGGGATTAAAAGTGGTGGATCCAAATGGTGGAAAAGAAGTAGATGGTAAGAATGGAAGTGAAATTGAACCCGAAGGAATAGGAGCTGGTCAATCTTCATAATCATCATCTGGAGGCGCTGTCACTTTGGGTGGCAAAGAACTCCCCTCGAAACAAACTTCCAAGAGTAGTGAACCCTCCAACGGCACGCTGACAAAAGAAGAAGATGCAGAAAATCATCGAATTACATCCAACAGTCGTGAAGCGGGGGAGGAAGAACACGAAGTAAAAAAAGAAAACACAATTCATGAGGCACCAACAGAGACACGTGGAAGTCCAGCCAAGGACGCAGAAATAAAAACGGTAACACCACCGCCACCACCAGCAACAATGAATGTACATTCCAGCACTGAGAATTTACCACTCGTGCAACCGCTACAACACGTCCAAGACGACAATGCAGAATCAGGGCCACCATCACCCACGGCAAACGGTGATGCCGCCAATAATGAAGCTGACAAGAGCACTGAAGAGGGCATTCTGAACAATGATCCAGCAGCTGATGGCGCAGGACAGCAGAAGGAAAACAAAATGAAAATAAAGATGCCAATCCGAAAGAAACACCAGCGACGGCCGCAGCCATGAAAACTACAACGGCGACGACTGGCGACAGTGACGGCAGCACCGCGGTCTCCCACACCACCTCCCCTCTTTTGCTTCTTCTTCTTGTTGCGTGTGCTGCTGCTGCTGCGGTGGTGGCCGCGTGAGAGTGAGGGAGAGAGAGCCGTGCACCGCCCGCACACACACTCGTCCTTCACTCTCTGTGTGTGTGTGTCCCCTTGCATGGACTCTCGCCCTCACCTCACCCCACGAGGCACACACAATAATGTGCCCATTGTATATATGCATGCACACCCATGCAGGCCCGTTGGTGCTCTCTTTTGCACGACACGCACCGCTGCCGTCCTGCCTGGCTGCATGGGCGGAGCACCGTAACTGTTTCTGTTTTGTTTCCATTGCATTGAGTGGGCGACCTCTCTCTCTCTCCCTCTGTGTGTGTGTTTTGCTTTACGGGAGCAATGAGAGTGTGTGTGCGCTGGTCGTCCCACGCTTCGGCTTTTTGTTTTGTTTTGTTTTTCATTGTGTTGTGGTTGAGTGCACTCATTACTTTTTGTTTTTGAATTGGTGTTTTTTTTTTGATTGCGGACGCCTAAATTCTCTTTTTCATTTTTTTTTCCTTTGAGATATTGTCAGTGTTTCTTATTCTTTTCAAACCATGAAGTATTTTTTTTAAACGTACGGCATGTTTCAGTTGATCCGCGTCGCCTCACGGTCTGCGGTGCTGCTGGTGCTTCTGGTTGTGATGTGTTGTGCCAGTGGGTGCCTTGCTGCCAGCCTGACGTGCTCCTGCTCCTCTGACAAGGCGATGCGTGCCCACAGGGCGAAGTCGATCGTGGCTGTGGTGAGGGACGCGCCTTTTGGATCTGAGGGTGCGTCGCAGACATGCACCGTCATTGGGAGGAATGGATGGGCGCCCACCCGCATCAATGTGTCGACAAGGGACCTGGATGGTACCAGGAAGTATTGCAGCTCAGAGCGGTAGCACGCAATGAATTCATTGGGGCAATTGCGAGTGTGAAGGTGACGTTTTTCTATGCTGAGAAAAGGGAAGTATTTGTTTTGTTATACTTTGCTGCCACTGTTCATTAATGGCCTGCGGGCTGTCCGTAGCGATGTGGCCAGTGTTTCCGTCTTGAACGGTGCTGTCGTGCGAAAGGGTGTGCTCCCAAATAGTCGGATGCTCAGTCGTCGAGGACGGGGGCATTACCACAGCGTGTGCGGCAGGCCTTCCCGTGGATTGTCGGGGGCTCAGCGGCTGGTGGGGATTGCAGAAGAGGAGTGGCTGAAGGGCTACGGCTGTCATTGGAGCTTGCAGAGGTGCGTTGTTCGTTTTTGCTCGTTGATACGCTTGACATTTTCGATAATGAACTGCGCGTGAGGCACCCGTTGGGGAGACCGTGGAGCTGTCGCAGAATCCACATGTGAGGCCTTCTGCAACGATTGGAGTGCCGGGGTTAGTGCGTCGGGCGTGTACCTCCATATGATGGGCGGACGAGAAGACGCTGCTGCAGCTTGGGCAGGGCGACGTTGATCTGCTGCTCGTCGTTCTACGAGGAGGTGCCGTGGACACGCCAGGTGGAGGTTCCGGAGGAGGTCGGGGCGGTCCTGCCTCTTCAGTGTGAGAGGGCGGCACCACCGACATAATGGGTTGCTTGTGATCTGCAGGGCGCGTGCCGGTCTGCCGAGGAGTGGGCAGGAGGACGTCCATCAGCCGCTTGTTGGTCGGCAAGGAGTGGCGGTATTCAAGTCAGGAGGAGGTTACGGCGGAGGCAGAGCACAGACGCGGTCCCAACAGCACCGCAGCACAGCCGATCCCAGAGGACAGGGACGTGGCTCCGTCATGCCTCGGAGAATCACAGGCCTGGGATCGAGAGGGCACCAAGCTGCTTCGCACGGACCTCTGGCAGAATGGAGAAGCCACCGCGGAGGGCATGATTGCGGTCTTCCCATTTGCGGAGCACTTCAGCTCGGGGCAGGCTGCCTCCTGATGAGGCTGTGTGCGTATTGCATGCTGCCGCTGCAACAGACTCGGCCTGCTCCATTCTGTCCGTCGTGATTCCTCTGGTCTGTCACGGCTGCCGCGCGGTATGGTGTCTTTGGTGCATTTCAAACCATGTGGTCACAGAGGCCAGAGGTGTTACACACGCCGAGGTGGAAGCATCACAGTCGGCATCACGCAGGACAAATGCGACATGTTTCCGTCGTGGCAGCATGCCTGCCTGTCGTGGGATGCCGTCCTCCGTCCCTGCAGTGTGGGATGGCAGATGGTGGTCCGAGTCTATGTAAACGGGTGGAAGTACAGTGGAAGACATGCAGCACGCGTTGCGCATTCACATTTGGAAACGAGACGCCGCTGATCCGAGTTGCCTGTGCCGTGTCGTCGGACAGCTCAATCTCCATGCCGCTTGGGGTGGTGGCGAGACCCTCACCTGTCGTCGTGGATGGTGAGTGACCGTCCCGGAGCTCATGGTGTGAATTCAGGTCAACCACAACAGGCGCTACAGGAACAAGACAAAGAATGTCGCTCGCAGAGTGAGCAGCGTGAGCAATTACTGTAGGAAGGCCGCAGAGGTTCACCGCGTACATGCTGGGGCAGGCCGGTGGGCACACGCGGAGGGCGGTGGTCTCCAGGCAGTTGGTTCCAGCAGCGGCAGGCGCTCGCACGGAAAGGTGTGGCGCACCAAGAGGGCCACGCCAGCGGCACGCCCACTGCAGGCCTGGTGGAAGTCAATGCAGCCAATGAGCCTCGTCGCTGGCACTCTGGTGCCTGCACTCATGCAGAAGAGCCATTTTGCGCTGGTGCTGCGCCAGTGAAGCAGCAAGGGCAATCCTGAAGGGCAAACGGCCTAAAGTTCTGAGATGCGGCTCTTGCGGACACCACCGCAGCGGGTGATGCCGGCAAAGTGGCCGCAATGAAACGACTGTGCGGTTGTCAGTCGGGCTGCAGGCAAACCGCCTCGCCGCTCCACAACCGACAGTGCATGGGACCTTCTCGAGGGGTGACGCCGTCGTGGTCCCCGTCACGCCCGCAGCAATGCCCTGCCGCAATCACTCGCACAGAGAGACAATAAAGAGTCTTGTGGATGTGTGCCGAGAGCACAGCGACTGTCACCTCCAGAGAAGGCCATCGTGGCATCGTCCGTCACGCGTCAGCACACACCGAGCAACGCACACACCGAGCAACGCACACACCCGGCAAAGCAAACACACAGGGGAAAGAAGAATGACCCCAAGAGCAGGCAACACCTCCACACATGGCGGACATCGCACAGCCACGTCAGCCGGCCTCCAGCACCATGCAACAAACGTACCACACGCATCCATCCAATGACACCGTGATTCCCACCGCCAACGGTAGACACGCAGCGACCATACTATGTCAGCACGGGATGCAGGCCAACGTCCCGCCGTCGCCAAGACATTCCTGCAGAGCACTGTGCAACTAAGTGTGTGTGTGTGAGCTGGAGGAGCAGAAAAGAAGAGGAGCACAGGAAGGCACATCAACACAGCAACAGGCACAGCTGGATGGCAGCGACAAATGCGGCACGGTCCCGACATCAACAACCACACACGGTGGCGCCACCGCATGAAATAAACACGCAAAGCAAAACAAAACAATCCTTAAAGAAAAACACGGCGGCAGGGTGTGGCTGTGTGTGTGGCGCTGCGGGTGTCTGCCAGCCCTCGCAGCAAGAAAACAAAACAAGAGGGAAGAAATGTGTGCTCCGCCCCACAGGCCCTCGTCGCACGCCCACACGTCACGGCTCCCTCAGCGCGCCGTTCGTCGCGGCCCCTCCTCATGCGTGCGGCAGGCGAGGCGCACAGGGCCGTCGTCATGAGCGTGTCGGTGGGTGTGCGAGTGGAGCAGTTGGGCGGGAAACACACGGCACCCCTCACAGGAAGAGTGCAGCAACAAACAATTAAAGGGGGAAGAGTAGAAAAGAAAAAACGTCCATAGTGATTGCCCCCAAAAGCAAAAAAAAGAAGAGATGGGGAAGTGAGAGAAAAGAACAATAAAAAGTAAAAACAAACACAAAAAACAAAAGAAAAAAAATCACACAACCAGAAAAAACAAAAAAAACGTTCAAAATATTTTAAAGCAAACAGCAAAGAAAATTAAAAACAATTAAAACAATCATAAGAGGAGAAACAAACAAAACAGTTACGGTGCTCCGCCCATGCAGCCAGGCAGGACGGCAGCGGTGCGTGTCGTGCAAAAGAGAGCACCAACGGGCCTGCATGGGTGTGCATGCGTATATACAATGGGCACATTATGTGTGTGCCTCGTGGGGTGAGGTGAGGGCGAGAGTCCATGCAAGGGGACACACACACAGAGAGGGAAGGACGAGTGTGTGTGCGGGCGGTGCACGGCTCTCTCTCCCTCACTCTCACGCGGCCACCGCAGCCGCACACGCAACAACAAGAAGAAGCAAAAGAGGGGAGGTGGTGTGGGAGACCGCGGTGCTGCTGTCACTGTCGCCAGTCGCCGCCGTTGTAGTTTTCATGGCTGCGACCGTCGCTGGTGTTTCTTTCGGATTGGCATCTTTATTTTCATTTTGTTTTCCCTCTGCTGTCCCTGCGGCATCGGCTGCTGAAACATCGTTTCCAGTTGTTTGGGTGCTGTTGGAATCTGTTATATTCGATGCTCTTGCCGTACCAGAAGATAAACTTGGCTGCTCTCGACTGACTGCTGACATTTCCCCTGTGGTGCTGGCAACAACTTTTTCTTTCTTTGTCTCCTCCTCTTTCGTACCATCCTCTTCGTCTTGCTCTTCCTCTTCCCCTTCTTCATCTTCCTCTTCGTCTTCCTCTTCTTGTTGTTCTTCTTCCCTCTTTTCATCGTCTGTATTGTGATCCGTGTTGTCCGTCGTTGTATTTGCCGCTTTTGATGCTCCTCCGGGTTGTTGTGATGGTCTCGCTGGCGCTTCCGCTTCCTCTCCCTGTAATCCTGGCGCCGTTAGTGCGGGTGCTTGTGGCGCTGCCTGTTTATCGTTTTGGACACCTCCTTCAGCGTCAACGACGGTCGCATTATCCTTTTTAGTGCTCTTTTCGGGCGTACTGCCCGAAGGAGCTGGAGGAGCTGCTTCAGCTCGTCCACCACCGCCGGCACCGCACCACAGCACGCAGAGGGCACACACCAGCAGCGCACGGCCAGTCATCATCATCGCCATCACTCCTGTCACTTGCGTGTGGCCTTCAGCACAAACTAACAACACGTCAACGCAGAGTGAAAGCAAAAGGCAGAGACAAATCACACAGTAATACGCACAGTAAACAACGGCAGCAGCCCTGCAGAGGAACGCACACTGACCTGCACACCAGAAGTAAAAAAGCAATACCAAAACAAAAAAAGTAGTTGAGCGCCCAACAGGAGTCTCCTCCTCAAAAAAAATACACTTCGGCAGAATCATCATTTCATACGCCATGCAGCAAAGCAGGACTGTGTTTATATGTACATGCGTACAGTGCCTGCACAAGGAAAAAATTATTGCTGTTCCACAAGCCCACACAACATCCCACACATTTCATGCGGCATCCGGCCTGTCTCTCCACTCCTCCTTTTGTGTCGTCCGTGGAACGCACAGCCGTGGTGCCTGTACCGCGTGTGGGCAACAGAAGCAATCAAGAGGGAAAACAATTCGCTCATGACGGTGCGCAGCAACTGACCATTAAGTAAAACAAAAGAAAAAGGTACTCCCATTGTTCCATGTAAACAACATTAAAAAGAACATCAAAAAAAGAAAGCCCGCAGGGAACGCGGCACATACTCTCCGTGAGAAGTCGCAACTCCACACTCCGTGGCTCAGAACACTGCCACAACCACACACAGTCCCAAAGGCAGAAGCAGCAGTGGTGTGTCTACACACGAGGTGATACATTCGCCACTGCTCACTGTCGGCAAGGACAAGTCACCTTCAAACTAGACGTCTCCACTCTCTTTGATCTTTTTGTTTAAAGAAGATGTGATCTGTGTGTCTCTGCTGCACGCACCGCTGTTTGTGGGCTCCTTAGTGGCGGGGGCGTGTGCTCGAGGACCATGGATACAGTCCCATCGCCCGTACACATCGGTGGTATTGGACGTCATGAGGTCATTATATTTTTTCCTACTCTTACCAGCGCGTCTAGCTATACAATGCCATCTGGGTGCCGAAGAGGTGGTCGAGCAGCAAAATAAGTTTCCTGCTATGAAGCAACTGCCATTGAGAGAACTTTCCGAGGCGAAGGTCCTGTTCAATGCCCAGCCGTCGGCGCACAGCCAAGGCGCTTGGACATTCTAGAA